TGACTTGTCCAAGGTCATGCAATTAATTAGTAACCAAACTGGGATTCAAATGCTAGCCTTCTAATTTCCAAATCCAGTGTTCTTTCCACTGAACAGCTTGCACTGAAGACATATTTGAGTAATTAATAGACCTATTCACCATTCTTTTCGAGAACTAAAAGAGAGCCTTAGAAGGACTGGAAAAGGACAAATATTGTTTCCACTATCCTAAATGGAACAAAAAAATGAGTACAAATTAAAGACTGATTGGATCAAAATCAATAGGTAGGAAAATACTAGAACTAAGAATAGAAACAATTTTCAGCCATCAAGAAGTATACAAGCTACTGCAGAACCATCAGCATGCCTCTTTGAAGAGCAAAACATGGCAGGCTAATTTAATTTCTTTTCACAGTAGAGCTGCAGTATATAGAAAGAAAGTTACAGAAATAAATCATTTCTTTATCTCTCTTTCTTTTTTTTTCTTTTTTGATCAGCAATAGAAATGTTTTCCAAACAGAGCAACCTGGCTAAACATCTTATGAGCAGAAAATAGCAATTACATTTATCTTCTAGTTATTTTTTATACAAGCTTGAGCATTTTCTCACTTTTTTCCCAATCTAGGGAGATTTTATTCACTATGCCAGCCATGTGGAATAGAAAAAAATAGCTGGCCACCTTGCAGATCTTTAGCAAAATGTGCTTGTCCATTAAGTGTGACACAATGAAATGAAGTTTTGAGAAATGGCTGGGGTTTTTTTTGTTTTCTTCCTATACTAGGGTTTTCTTGCATATTATAGTACTGTGCCATCTAGTCAAGGGAGGAGAGCTGTGAGCAAATACAGCATGAGTGCCCAACATGAGGACTCTTAGGAAAATAGATTGAATATGCATGTGATAACAGGATCACAAAAAAAAATGCAAAATGTAAAGCATGCTAGAATGGCATTCATGTGAATTAATTCTAAAAACTAACATGTTATTCAGTTTAATAGAAGTTTGTTAAAAATAAAATAGCAAAATCATGATTTGAGATAGCCATAATGCCTAGAATTCTAGGAATAATAGACTATTTCATTTTTCCATGAATTTAAAAAAATTCTATTTGGGGTTCCAATTACACATAAATATATGTAAGTTGACAAATTTAAATCAACATAATCTGCATGTTTCAAGTTGGAAAGACTTAAACCATTCACTGTATTCTAATCTGCCAAAGCTTGTCATTTATACTGGAATTTTTCTTATTATTTAATATGAATGCTTTATTAATCTTATGTTGCAAAATTTTGATGTAATAAAATATGAAATAAGAAGCTAGCCCTAGAACCATCAGCATCTTTTGTAGTCGCACAAATAATGTGTTTGCTTTTGAAAGTTACTTTCCAGCACTGATGTTTCCGTGGCTTTATAAAAAAAAAAAAAGAACCCCATGTCTTTCAAAAGTAATATTTTAATTACAGTCATCTCTTTTTCTCAGTTTCTTGTGCAGTGTTCTGCTTTAATATTCAGGTAGCAATACTCCACACTACTTATATTGTCTATCACTCTACCAAGGTCTAGAATTTAAATGACCTGCTTTTTCTTATCATAAATGCCGAAAGTGTATGCCTTCCATGAAAGAAGAAACATAGTGGCCATCTTATGCTTCATGCTATAGCACAAGTGCTAATTGGAGTGCTCCCCCCAGCCAGTTATAGGCATACAAGGGGTATAAATTATAATTCATTGTGTGAGTCACCACCCACTTTAGAAGATTTACAGAAATGGTATGAATCTTAAGAAGTGGGATCTCTCTAACCAAAGAAGTACAATAATAAATGGATGATAGATAGAAAATAGATGACATATAGATATGAATATAATAGATGCAAATATAATTAATACAGATATAAAATCTGTGTATCTACATACAGATATTAAAGAAAAATATGGAGAGGATAACATATAGATAGGGATATTATATCAATATAAATATAATTGACGGCTATGTAGATATTAAGAAGACATATGTAGAGGTAAAATATAGATAGAGACAATAAATAAATAGTTACAATTGACAGAAATATCTATGTATAGACAGAGATATAAAGAGAAAAATATATAGAAGGATAAAGTAGATTGATGCAGATATTGAATATGAATATGAATATAGACATAATTGACATAAATAAAAGTGTCTGTGTGTAGACATATGTATATTAAGATAGAGGAAACTTTTTTTTTAGTCAAAAACTCTGATTTCATTTATGTTGGGAAGTCTTACTATGGAAATTCCCACTACAAATGTAGAGCAGCACCCAGTCAGAGACTGGAGCATTAATACATTAAATGACTAGCTAGTTCAGTCACACAGATACCGTGTGTCATATTTAGAATCTGAACCTACTTCTTCACTCCAAATCCACTTCATCACACTGTCTTTCATATGAAATATTGTTCGCATAAAATATTCTGAAATGAGTGTAAATGCCCACCTTTTTGTCTCCATGGCTCTGAAATTATCAGTTCATTCTGCAAAAGGAAATTGAACCTATTTCACATCAGAGTCCCAAATGGAAACCCAATCAAATATGATTTTTTGACTGAATTGTCCACTTCCCAAGCAGTTCTCTTGGCGTATTGTAGACAAGGTCATAGATGTAATGCTTTTGAAATTTCAGTGTTATATAATACTGTGAAATACAGTCTGCATACATTTACCAGCCAGAATCTGTGAAGCAGAAGAGTGGAAGTGGTTGAAGGTCTTGTTTTTAAGTTCTTGTCCAGTCATGCTGTCCCTGATTGACTTTAGGAGAGAAAGCAAGACTGGTTTTGTGATTTGAGGCAAGTTACTTATCTATGCCTTCTGTGAAATGAGTCATGTTGGCACCATGCCTACTTCACAGAAACATAAGTTCTTGGGTTTATAACTGCAAGGAATCTTAGAGATCATCTTCTCTAACCTCTTTCATTTTATAGATGAGAAAACTGAATCTCTGAGAGAAGAAGTGATTTGCTCAATGTCACGTAGGTGGCAGAACTCCAGTCCCCTGGCTACAGATTAATTGTACCACAAATTAAATTATATGTAAAGCTGTTCACACACCTTGAAAGAGGCATGTGGAAAAGTCACTTTTCTTAAATTCATTTGTTTTATATCTAAAGCTTTCAAATGTTCGTTCAGATTAATAAACCACCTCTAATATTTAAATGGGATTTTGCAAAGCATTATATCAATTATAAGCACCTGTATCCTTTCTGTTGGTGTTAAACTAAAATAGGAACCAATTCCTGAACCTCATATTGACTGAGCGGACCACCAATTAACATGAGCTATGTTGAATTGTATTTTAATGTATTTTGTTAAACATTTCCCGATTACATTTTAATTTGGTTCCAGAGGCACCAGGAGTTTGACAACCTTGCTGTGGCAGATTCATTGAAAGCAACTCCAGCATTTTATAGTGCAGCTTCAAATCCTATTCATTGCTATCATTTATCTATAATCACTAAGATACCTATGGCATAATTTTCTCAAATACATTAGCTGGCAGAAATGTTTTGCTGCATTTCTCTGGTTTGACAAAACACAGACAACTTTCCTAAAATTCTAGTTTTTACCATAATTTTCTTCCCGATTGTTTTGTCAGGAATATGTGTAAAAATGTTGTGCCAGAGCATCACTCTAATGTCTTTGAGGTCCATACCAGATATCTGCCTTCAAAGTAAAACTGTCTTACAATAAGAGCTTTTTAGTACTTCCTAATTAAACTGCCTGGGGGAGCTAAGTGGTACAGTTGATAGAGCACTGGGCTTGGAATCAGGAAGACTCATTCTTAAATTCAAATCTGATCTCAGATGCTTACTAGCTGGGTAAATCACTTAGACCTATTGGCCCCAGTTTCCTCATGTGTCAAATGATTTGGTGAAAAGAATGACAAACCACTCCAGTATCTTTGCCAAGAAAACTCCAAAATGGATCAGACAAAGAGTTGGATATGACTGAAATGACCAAACAACAGGAGCAATTAAACTGCCTGGGAATGAAGTCTACTCCAGTCTCACCTCACTGAATTCTGCATAATACGGAGAGACTGCTATACCAAAGTGTTATCATGCTCCCATCAGGATGATTATATCATATTGTCTAAAAGAAGAGATGGTGTGGTTGTCATGAATAGCTATTCCAGGATTTAGCATTCATCTCTATTTATCTATCCATCTATCAACCTCTACATATTACTGAAAAAGTAGAAATCCAAATAGGAATCTAATATATAACTACATGTAAGTCTACCCTGATAGCTTTGCTGCGTATGGATTGCTCAAAGTAGTTAGAATGTTCTAGCTAATTTGGCTTTTTCCTTTTAAGTCCAGTGCATCTACATCTATCCTCAGGGAAAACTGCTCAGCTTTTCACCATCTTCCTTCTGAAAATCTTTCCATATACCTAAAGGAAATTAATAGCATGCTTCTCTTTTCCAACTGGAAAAATTTCAAGTGCTAGTGTAGTGTCTCAGTTTCTTATTAATATGGCCCTGTTTGAAAACGGTTGTAACACTGTACCTAAAGTCAAGAAGATCAGGGTTCAAATCTCACTATGGACATGAGCTTAAACTCTTGTCAAGTCACAGCCTTGATGGGCTTCAGATTCCTCATCCATAAAATGAAGAGGTTTGACCTGATTGTCTCTATCCACCCTTGCAGCTCAGATCTATGATCCTATGACTCATCCACAGCCTATGATGATTTTTAAAACCCCGGTGTACCTGAGATAGAAAGCTTTAGTTATCTATCCATCATTACTTAGCTTCTACTTTCCCTGGCAAAATGCCATAGATAGATAAAGCAGCAGCCGCCTTTTCTGATTTCACCTTCTGGATCAAAATGTACCTTTTCTTCATCTACAGCTAATAACACAAAATGCTTACCACGAGTGTGGTGAGTGCGTGTACATTAGCTGTGTCTGAGAAACAGGACAAATATGACCAAACAGAGGGGAAAAAGATGTGATATGAATTTTGTTCTCTGTGTTTAGGCAAGCTACGGCCTATATCTATGCCAGTGGAATATAATTGGGTGGGGGAGTATGAAGATCCCAGTAAAATGAAGAGAGATAGTAGAAGAGGTAAGTGTACTAGAATCTCAGGGTAGGCTCTGTATTGTTTAAACTGTAAGTAAATTTAGATGTTTTTTAAAGTAGGTTCTTATAGCTTAAGATTAGTGTTTTTCAAATCATGTTCTTTCTGTGATTAACATAAGAAAGGCAGTGTGGCACTGTGGGTAGAGAGCCGACTTTGAAGTCAGGAAGACCTGTGTTCAAGTGCTGCATCATACTGGCTGTGTGACCCTAGGCAAGTCACTTCAGTGTTCTAGGCTACTCTTGGACAATAAGTTGCAGAGATGTTAACCTGCATCGGTAGAAAGAGTTTCCTCATCCAGGAATTCCTTATACCAGTGAAATCACAGGTGTAGACCCTATCATTATCCCTGTACTTGACAAAACAGTGTGCTTTATTATTTTGACTAAACCGTCAATACAAGTCTTAGATCAGGTACTCACTGATACTTTTAATTCTTAACTTCTAAAGAATCCTATGTAAGTCATGTGGGTTCAGTTAAAAAGAGACATGAATATTGTGTAAAAATGAAGAATTGATTGTTATTTCAAAGATGAGCATTAGGAAAAATGGAAAAGTGATGAAACTTTATCAGAACAAGCACATATAGCCAGACCATAATCAATCTATATTGGACACAAAATCTAGTTCTGTCTCAGAGCAATTACTTCTTCATATTTCAAGGGGCCATGATTTGATTGCTAGGTGTGCTCCCTCTATCAACAGATCTCAAAATCCCTATGTACTTTAATTGATGGCTTTTTTGAGTTGCAAAGACTGAAAAAATGAATCACTCAATGTCCAACCTTCTGACGTTGAGCCTCTCTGTATGTAGCCAGACTTGCTCTCAGATATTGGACTCACAATCCATAATCCATTCAATACACAAAGCCTCTGTAGATTGATAGGAAGTGCCAAAGTTGTTGTGCCTTCAAGAATCCAGTCACCTTCAGACCATAATGAGCGTTCTGTAGGGGGGCTTTCTGATGTTAGGACCATAAAGGCAAATATTTGCTCATGTGCTCAGAATATATCAGAGAGTGGGCCTCTAGAACACACACACAAAAAAATTAATTACACACACAAACAGTTGTTTCAGATGGTGATTATCATGTATATATGTCATGTCAGACTCAACTGTGATGTCAGTGACCTAAAATATCACAAGATTTTTCCCCCTCATTCTGTTTGGTATTAGAAATATATTCCTAAGCAGAGATGGGATGTGGGTAGAAGAGGATTCTGCTGTGGTATATGCTATAGGAAAATATTTTTGTTCTAATCTAGAGTTCAAAAGAGCAATGGTTAGAGGTCAATACAACTGATATTGATGACATTGGTGATGAAAATTGGAACCATTAGACATTTGGTGGGCCCAACAGAAGTTGAGGCAGCCTCATATTGTTTTAAACCTTGTTACAAAGCTGTGCTACTGCTTTCCAAAAGTCATAAGGCTGTGGATAAGGCATCTAAAAGAAAATTCACTATAGACTAAGAAGAAAAATGCATCTTACGGAACTTAATTCACTAATATACCGCATTACCTACTTAGCAAGATGATTTCAAGTTTTGATGTTATTAATACTAACTTTTAAAGTATTCATTTCATTACTACATATATCATAGACTGATCATAATGGTCATCTTTTTCATTAGCATTTTGGACCTGATTTTATAGAGATTTCTATTCTGATACTGTTGGTACACACAATAAAATCTTACTGAGTTGGTTTATCTATTCAGTTTTCCAAGTTTCAGTTATTTCCAAACTTTGATGGATACTACAATGGATCTGTGATCTCATCAGTATGGGTACTCCCTCCAACAATATAGATTGCATCCCATTCATGCCCTCTCACCCTGTGTGACTTTTGTCCTTGTCTTCCTTTAATTGTCCATGAAGGGTCCACTCAATGCACTGGGGACCTTCCTCTAGAGATCTTGACAGAAATGTTAGTTATTTAACATTATTATATTTGTAACAAGTTTGGAGAAAATGAAAGGGAAAAAATGTTTATCATATATCACCTCTATAGCAGTATTATTAGGTTTGATTTTCTCACAAGTAGATTTTTAAGTTAGCGACATGAATTTTAATCTTTTCAAGGAAGCTAGTATGCCATGTGCTGCCTGATTTCTCTTGTTCCATGATCCCAGTTCATTGAGTGTCATGTACAATTTTATTATCCAGAACATACTTTTCAGTCAAGTTAAAGTTCCAAGAGCAAAACCATTAGCATGATTAGTAGGAGAGAGCTGTAGTTCTGGAAACCAGAAACTGATTTACTTATTCTAAGTGATGCTTTTCTCTCTCTTTATTTAGAAAATTCCTTACTTCGGTATATGAGCAATGAAAAAATTGCTCAAGAAGAATACATGTACCAGAGAAATAGCAAGAAAGATACAGGGAAAAAGTCAAAAAAGAAGGGAGATAAGAGTAATAGTCCAACTCACTATTCCTTGCTACCTAGTTTACAAATGGAAGCATTGAGGCAGGACGTCATGGGCACACCTGTGCCAGAGGCCACCTTATATCACGTGAGTAAAATTCTCAAAGGTTTGTTGTTACTGCCTTTATTACAAGATTTGTACGTGACTTTTGATGGTGGGAGAGGCAGATGTGAGTGGTGGATTGTGGATCATTTTTATTGCAGTTTGTCACCATTTTAGGCGATTGATTCAGCTTGGTGGGGCAGTGGGTAGAGCACTGCCTCTGGCGTCCGGAAGATGAGCTCAAATACATCATCAGAAACTTATTAGTTCTGTGACCTGGACAAGTCACTTAACCACTATCTGACTCAATTTACTCATCTTTAAAATTAGGATAATAATAGCACCTACTCTCCAGGGTCAATGTGAAGATGAATTGAGATAATATACATAAAGTACTTAGCAACTCTTAAAGGGCTATATAAATGCTAGCTATTATTTCTATGTCAACAAGATTACATATCCATTCAGGTTCTCTCTTACTGGTATTGAGATAACTTCATAAGGACAAAAAAGGATAATTATATTTATTTGTTTGAATATGTCCAACATGCATATTACATATGTACACATGTGTACATGTATATGTGTATGTTTATATATATCACTTTGTTTTTATATGAAGGAATATATGATAGAATAGCAGCAAGATTTTAAAGGAATGTAAAAATGATAATGTCTGTATTTTATTTCATTTTTGCTCATTCTGACTGTGCATCCTCAAAATATAGAGACTTTTTTGCTCTAAAGTAAAACTAAATTAAGCCTATAATTTTGAAAAAAAAAAAGGAATCTGCTAAAATAATGGGAGCATGCACACGCAAATTAATAATCCTCAGCAATGAAAATGAAGAGAATAAAATGCTAGGGAAATGGCAAATATACGCTCCCCCACTGGGATTTGCTCCAGACAGATAATTTAAAAGTTGAAACTCTTAGACCATCATCAAAGACAAACAGTGAAGTTTTCTATGCTCTGTTGAAGTACAAAAATGTTGGGCTGTAGCTAAACAGACTTAATCATAGGTTAATGAAACCCGGAATTCTTTCATTTTTTAAAGCATCTAATTGCTTTCAGCATTCAAAGAGAGAATAGCTATTATACAGAATTTTGCAGTGAACTGTGGTATTTAGAGAAGAGAAATGTATTCAACTTCATTGTTTGATTTATGGGAAGAACAGACAAAGAAAGCAAAAATGTCTAGGAAAAGCTAGAGAAAATCAGCTGATTAGCTAAATAAACTTAGAAAAATAAATATGCAGTACATTGTGGCCCTCAGAACATAATATATGAGATTGGTGTGGGAGTACTGTTACAACCTAACTGTAGTTACTGCTGTAATAAAGTGTGTGTGGAACAGACGGGTTTCCATCATGCCCTAATGGAGCAAACTATCTATTCATTTGTTGGAATAACATGTTTATCTGATAACTGTCTTTGTGGCAACACTGTTTGATTCTCCACCATCACTGAGAGGTCTTGTGGAGCTCACAGCGTTGTTGATAATGCACTTCAATTAATAAAGTCTGAGAGACTATAAAACACTCGTTTCCTTTCCCAGTTGTACTCCCAATTGTACATCAACTCTTACTCAATAGGTCTGTTCAACCAGTGACTTCTGCTCTTGCCAACACTTTTCAGCTGGGATATAGCATGTAAACAGCAGAACCTTTGATCAGTGAGGGAAAATACATAAGCAGCATGTGCAGTAATCAGAAAAATTAGAGCAAATTATTCCTGTAGTGGGAGATTTATCCATGTGAAGGTTGATTGGTTTATAATGGCTTTCAATAAGTTTATTAACATAGCAATTTCAGGGATCTAAATGTGTTTATAAATTATATTCCCTTCTGAATATTTTACACTGACACTAAAAGAAGTTTTCTAAAAAAAAAAAAAACTTTGAAGTCAAATGTAGCCCTAAGAAAGAAAACTGCAAACGTATTTCATCATTTGGTCATGTTAGAATGTTAGAATTAGGTTTTCCCTCCTAATTATAAACACAATTTTATTACATTTTTGACAGCACCATAAATTCCAGTTTATCTAGAATGACTGGGAAGTGGGTTGTTCTTGTTAATTAAATATTCTAGTTAATTGAATTTTTCCCATATGCCATGTATTAGGTATCCTGTCCCCAACCGGTGTGTAAGGAGGGGCTACTTTTCATTTCTCCAAAGTCTTGTGATGCCATTGCTAGAGGGATGGGAGAGCAGTGTTGACAGTGCAATCCTTCAGGGAGGAGAGTAAAAACCAGAAAAGGGATAATGGGAATGGTAAAGTCAGGAAAAAGGAGCAGATTTAAAGGTGAAATAGAATACATTCAGATTTGGGTGTGTTCAGCTTGAAGCACTGGGATAACATACCTGTAGAGATATGTTGTAGGTAGTTTGGGATACAAGACCACAGTTTACAAGAGAGTGAAGGACTATCAGCCTATATTCTGGACAAACCGGTCTACTTGAAATTCAATAATTACATCTCCCACTGCCACACTTTTCACAGGCTGGCCTGGAATTCACTCCCTCCTCACCTATACCTATTAGGAAGCCCACTTTCTTTAAGTAGCATCTCATGTGTAACCTCTTATGGAAAGCCTTTTCCTGATATCACTGTTTGTTACTGCTTTCTCTCTCCTCAAATTATCATGTATATACTTAACTGATTATATGACATAATCTTCCAGTACAATATGAACTTCAGGGTAGGAATGTTTAATTTTTGTCTCTGAACCAAGCACAGGTCCTTGTACCTAGTAGGTCCATAATTTATACTTGTTGGATTGGAATGGGTTCAAGCTGAGATGATGAATGAAGAGGATAGAGAGAAGAGGATAGGACCACAGACTGAAACTTGGGAGAAGGGCTCTATTAAAGGATTGGAAAGAAAACAGAAGGCCACCCTAAGTACACACACACACACACACACACACACACACACACACACACACACACGACTCCCCCCTCCCTGCCCATTTTTTAAAAAGAATTCCTGCTCTGAAATCTTCTAGGCCAATTCAAAAAGAATAAGAAAAGAAAGTATTAGGTATTTGACATAGTTATTTGACATAGACCTCTCAGAAATTTTTGTGGCAGTTAAAAAAATGGAAAATAGAGTGTTCTCCATCAGTTGGTGAATGATGAAGACCTGTATTATGTGAATATAATGAAATAGTAATTTTATTTTAAGAATTGGTGTTCATAAATAATTCAGAGAAACCTAAGAAGACTTGTAAAATCTATTGGAGAGAAAAATAAGGAGAGACAGAATAAATACATTTATATGTGTGTATACGTACTAACATGTATACCTGAATACATGCATGTGCATATACATGCTATAAGTATATCACATAAGTGAAAACATCAAAAAGGGCAACTAAATCCATTTAGTTGCAAGGGCTGGATTTTTTGTTGTGGAGAATATTTAATGAAACACAATGCCTTTTCTCAATGGGGTGGAGAAGGAAAGGTACTATTGGTGTAGAACACAGCATATGCTATTAGACATATTTGTTACGTGAGTTAATTCTGCTTTACTCTTCTATATTATAAGGGAAGATTCAACATGTATGGTGTTGTATTCAGAAATTACAATGTAAAAAGAAAAGTTAACAATAAAATAACTACCCCAAAAGCTATCATAGACTACCTTACAGTCTCAAAATGAATATATCAAGCATATTTAACCAAAAAAAGAGAATAGAAGGCTGATTAAGGAGACAGAGGAATCACTAAAGATGCGAGGGAACCAGGAAATACATTGTCTCTTAAGTAAAAGAAGAAGCAAATGCATGAGAGGATAATCGATCTCGTGAAGTAGTATGTAGAGTTCAAACACAGTGAGAACTGAAAAAAAAAACTTCGGATTTGTTAAGAAGTCATCACTGACCTCTGAGAGTATTTTCTGGATAGCTGAAGGAGAAAGGCTACATTTAAGACAGGGTTAGTGGTGAAGACTAGAAGGCCTCAGAAGGAGTTAACTCTTTTCAAGAAGTTTGGCAGTGAAAGTAACAGTGACATGGTAGCCAAACTGGGTAGAATGGTCAAGGGAAGACTGCTGTAGGACTGCAGGCACATATTTTTAAACTCACATGTTGTTCAATCACTTTTGGTCATGTCCAACTCTTCATGACCCCATTCAGGGTTTTCTTGGCGAAGATTTTGGAGTGGTTTGCCATTTCCTTCTCCAGCTCACACTAAAAATGAGGAAAATCAGGAAAAGAGGGCTAAGTGACTCACCCAGGATCACACAGCTACTGTGTCTGAGGCCAGATCTGAACTCAGGAAGATGAGTTTTCTTGACTCCAGGCCCAGCCCTCTATCTATGGTGCCACCTAGCTAAAAGATGAGTCCTATTACTATCCTAAAGTTGCGAAAGGAGGAGAAAGGAGCGAGAATTTGTTGTTTGTTGTTGTTGTTGTTGCTGTTCCGAACTCTTGAAAGGTAGATTTGTCTTGACTCTTTAAGAAATATTTGTTCTTATACTTCCTTTTAATGAGACCAAACCTGACTTGATTTCTATCCAGCTTCTTCCCTTCTTTTACTGGCACCGAGGGAACACCAACAGGCATGTTAATATTTTTATTAAGCTAAAGCAAACACATGGCATCGCTACTAAACTAAAGAATGAGCAGGTGTTCTGAAAAATCTATTGGGGGAGGAGGGATTTATAAAATGATACAGTTAAAATTGTCTTGGACTTTTGAGGCACAAAAATGAGAGCACTAATGCACACCCACACTGTGTATAGTTGCTTAAGTATATTAGACTTTGCAGGAATTTATTTTTCCTCCTTCAATCCATTTTGCCTCAAACTTTTGCTTTCAGCAATTGAATTTTACTGAGAAGGTCAGATCTTTCTATTAAAGACCCTATACCTTGTTCATCTTTCATTTTCAGAGCTTATAGCCCCTCCAAGAAACTGTACCATTTACTATTCCTCATTCTTCTCTTGTCTTCTTCTACCTCCTCACATAAATGACCAAGCTATGTCTAATGCATGCAACTCATTCCCTATTTGGCTCTAACTAATGAAAATCTTCTTT